GGAGATATTGTAGTGACAGCAGAAGCTAAAATCTCCATAACCAGTTTATCTTCTTCATTAAACTACTCAGACTTTTGAGGTAAAGGAGAACTTGACTCCTGATATTTTTGTTACTGTGGAGAAGCATTAGAGCACTGAGCACCTTTCTTCTGGGGAAAAAAATTAGCCCTAGTTCTGGTAGTTACAAGATCTCCTTCAGGAGAATTTGATATTTCTCATCATCCATCAAGGCCAGAGAGAGAATAAAGAGAGGATGTGGTGGTGCCTGAAGTTCTAGAAAGTATCATATCACACAATCTTGGTTACCTACTTGCCAGAGGTCAACTGGAACCATGTATCTGAGAACTGGGATATTTTGGCCCCAGGCCTATTTCTGGGTGGAGTCAGGCATGATTCCTGTCCAATCAGTGGCTTGGACTGGAAAAGAGTAATCTGAATTGTCAGCCACCGCTATCAAGCTTTTCCCCAAACAGGCTTTCACAGGAGAATTTTGAGGAAAGAGGATTTGTTTCGAGTAACTATCCACAGTCCAGAGTTTAAGCCACAGAGCTTGCTGTCATGAACCTCATGGCCAGTCTCATGAAATCCATGTCTCTCTACCATGAAAACAGTAGGCAGATATTTTCTTTAGCACCAGAGTAAAATTATGATTCAGAGGATCTAGTCTAAATCATTGCATTTGGATATGGTGTCCCGGGTGAAAACTGTTACTGCCAGAAAAGCTGTGAGCTCTGCTGACAAACTTTCAGTCCCCTCCTAAAGGTGACCTCTGTTTTACTTTCTGCAAGGTCTCTGGGAAAGTTGGCACGGGAATGGTAAATTCTCACAGCCTTGAAAGTGAGATATTTGCCCTTGGAATTCACTCACTGATCCTCTCTTTTCTGCGATTGCAAAGGTGACCACCACCTTGCTCCCAATGGTGTCACATCTCTGAGAGAAAGCATTTTTCCTGCTTCTCTGGCTTGAGACTACCATGGTTCAAACTTAAGAGTTCCCCTTCCTCACCGAAGGAGCTAGAGCTAGTGGAAGAGGATGAGCCTTTGGAGTGTTTCCTGGCTTTTTTCTTACATTATCTGCCCTTTGAGGATTTTTTGGTTCTCTTTTGTCCTGATCTGGAAACTGATCCATCATTATAGATGGTGCTTTTCTGTGGGACTCAGCTCACAAAGGAAGGCTTTGACCCCTGGACCACCAATTGTCATCCAATATGTAACTGGAGGTCAAATGCAGGGAAATATTCCGGAGGGAGCCCAAATTATTATTACTCTGTTTACCTAATCACTGACTCTAGAATGAAAGTGGAAGGCCAGGGAGTCTGATGGACAAGACTAAGCTGTCTCTGGCATTTGCCAAATGAGAGGTGCAACCCACATGTCTCAGACTTGGAGAGGGCAGTGCTCTCTTTTCCATGAAAGCTGGCTATCTCTTCTGTGGTTACCAGCTGAAGAAGAGAATCTCATTCACTGGAAAGTCCAGAGGCTTGCCCTGGGTGTTTGGTCAGCTAACCATTATTTAAGCCACAGCAATCTTTTAGTTATAGTTAATTCAACCATCACCTGAGCTGAGGTCTGGATAACATCACATACACAATTGGCCATGAAAGACACTACATATCCTAGGGAAAGTAATATAAAGGCCAGTTCCAAATACTCATCTTTGGCTCTTTCAATAGTACTGCTCTGCATACAAGGCTATTCATATGGCTGTTCTGATGATTTTAAGACAAATTAAATGCACAATGGAGATCCTGATACTCTATGCTGCTCTGGATATGCCACATCTATCCAGGAATTTCTTTTAAAAAATGTCTTTCCCAGAGAAAGGGTAAAAGATTCTCAGTGTGTTAGAAATGGGATTACAATTAGGAAAATACCAGTCATGATCTTGCAAGTTGCTTTGATGACAGTGCTCTGACAACCCCCAGAGGCTTCATTTGAGCTACACAATATGAGGTCACCTTGAAGTGGGTTTGCTAGTTTTGCCTCCAAAAAGGGCAGGCGTTCTTTTTTTAAGCTTTGTTTAGAAGAGCCTCAATTTCTTGTAGGAGCTTGCACCACCTTTGTACATCCACAAGCTCTTTAGCTCTAGAATAAGGAACCTACAAACCGTTTACAGTATTATTTCTTATATTAATGCATATAATGAAATATATAGGATACGCAACGTGTGAGTTAATGTGGAAAAGAATGTTTAGACTTCCTGATCTCTAAGTGATTGATTTCACAGCCTTAAAATTACACTAACTCTAGCCACTTCTATTTAATATGAAAGCTCCATGGGGAACTAAAAATACTGAGCAGAATGACTGATAACAGATGCACTAAAAAAAAAAATGAATTTCTGTATGACCGCCCAAAAGTCAGGTTCTCATTAATTATTTTCTATATAATCTACTTAAGTTATTACATTTTAGTATCTTAAAATATCGAACAAACATGGAGAGAACATACTAAAGAGCAACAGTAAGGTACCACAGTTAATCAATGTCAACATTGGTCTGTAAACAATTAGGGATATGCCTCTGTGTATGAGTACACATCCATGACCCTAACACACATACACACCCCTATTTTTAAATATGCATTTTTCAAAAGGCTGGCCCACAAATGCTTTAGGAAATAGGAACAAATCATGGAAACAATAAGTGATCAAACAGAGTTTGATTAATTGAAGGTGATACAACAGAAGAACAGGATACTGGGTCAGACCAAGGTCCATCTAGCCCAGTATCCAGTCTTCTGACAGTGCCCAATGCCAAGTGCCCCAGAGGGAATGAACAGAACAGGTAATCAAATGATCCATCCCCTGTTGCCCATTCCCAGCTTTATGCTTGAAAAAAGTAATTATTGGTCAGTCACTTTTCTGATATTTTCCTGTACTCTGCTTCTTTCAGGCAAGAGAAAGAGTGAGAGAGGCTGCAGGTGTTCGTGCTCAAGAGCCACCACCTGCTTACGTTAACTGGGACTGAATTACACAGACCGGGTTGCAGATGATTTACTAATCTTTTCCCTAGAGGGAGGAAAACTCTCTAACATCACTAATGTCTGCGAGTTATTAGTCTGCACACCTAATCCGTTACTGCCTGCTATGCTAGGACATGAACTCAGCAGAGGTCAAAAGGCACAAATACCCACTGTAAGGACATCAGTTATTCTCATTTCATAATAAAGTATGTATTTATGTGATACAAAGACTTTGTACACATGGAACTGAATGATGTATGAAACCTTGGTAGTTACACCAGCACTTACAGGTGGACTGACTGACCCACACCAATACCCTTTTCTTTGGCTAAAGTGACATTTACTTATTCTGAGCCTACTTTCTGGGGGAGAAAATCCTACTAAAACTATATTTTGTGAAATAAGCAAGACAGTGAAAAGCCTGAGTACATGTTAATTGTTTGTGAGCATTTTTCAGTAAAGTTATGCTATACCACAAGGTGAAACTATTGCTGAATGGATATATGCATTTCCAGAAGTAGCCACTACAACATGGGCACTTTTCAAACACTTAATAAAGGGCGATCCCTATCCCCCAAAAGCTCACAATCTAAGGAAGACTCCACTGCAGAAAGCAGTAAGTGTTATTTATATTTCCTTTAGCACAGCATTTTCCAAACATTTGAAAGCCGAGACCTCTTTCAGAAATTATTAAACCAATTAGGACCCATTTCAGTTCCAGCTTGTATTGTTCAAAGGCCTACTCATGTTAGGATCTTAATTAAATGAAATGAAATTACATTTCAAAAACATGTCCCTAAATTTATACTTTATTAACTGATTTTTTATTTTATACACACACACACACACACACACACACACTTGGATGTTAAGTATTGCTCAAATACAAGTTATTATTTAAAACTGACCTAAACATTACTTTTCATTTTTACAATATTTCTCAACAGTGACACTGACCTATTGTTTCAGGCTCTCTTCAAATTCAGGCAGATATCGCCACATCAGTTAATTTCAATCACACTTTCAAGTTCTTCTCCACAACCATAACAGCTGGAGACTAACTTTAAAAAAACAAACCTCAAAACACTGAACAATTTTGCACCCTCTGGAGTGTCTCTTGGAAGGCACATTTCACTGTTTAGGAGACACTGCTATGACATATGTTTTGAAAATGTCTTTGCCTAAAAATACCCAAATCAAATAAATCATTCCCAAAATAATCCCAAATTCTTTTCCAAAAATGCTGGTGCAATATAGAAATCATGGAATAAAAGGTTATAGTATAGAACAGAATGACAGACTTTTTGAAGATACTAAGCAGCACTGGTGATAAAATTGTTTTTCCTCACTGATGACCATAAAAATCAAGTCTGGATTAATTGACATCTCCAATCTCCATGATGGAAGTACGTAGTATGCCATGTGAAGGTACAGGGCTGATGTGCATATAGATAGGATATTTCATTAACTTTGTGATCATTCCTTTTACTTTCAAAATGTTCTAATTCTAGGAACAATATCACAAAGTGGTATTATGCGGTTATCTCCAGACAATCACAAATCTTCAACATGACCTTTCCAGGAATGGCATCAAAATAGGAGCAATGAGCATGGGTGTGTGGGGGCGGTGGTCTTACAAGTCAGAAAAATAGAAATGGTAATATAATTCCTGAACATCTACAATAATAATGCAGTCGAAGCAATGACCTCGCCACAGATGTCTTGAATTGTTTACTGAAATTGACTAATGGATTCTGTAATCTATTATTTATTGCAAGAGTATCTGTTATAGATTCTTATTAGAGAACTCTCCTGTGTTTACAGCATTATTGCATCTAAAAATCTTTAAAAGTGACAGATGCAGCACCTTATTTAGAACGCAGCTAGGATTTCCTCTGTAGTTTCATTTTTACTTTAACAAAAACCCTCTACTTGGCCTGTTTTAATATATCATCATGTATCCTTACCTAGGCTCAATGAAAGCTACAGAAGCAGACATGGTACTATAGATATTGATACTTAGTCTTCGTGACATACCTCCATGTTGTACTTTTCCACAGTCCTTCTCAAGGGGTCCACAACCTGCCAGCAAATCAAGATGCAAAGATCAATCAGCAGCATCCCTCCAACTATCACCATCAGCTTCTGGTCCTTAATAATCTGGAAGGACAAAGAGCAGAGGAGGGCATTCCCATGAGTCAGATTCCTGTGGAGCCTTCCTCACATGCAGTGAATAAACATGCACTGTTGCTAAACAGGCTTTTTAATAATATATAGAGAATTATTTCAGAAATAGCAGGTGAAAGAAAGGTTTCAGAGTAGCAGCTGTGTTAGTCTGTATCCGCAAAAAGAAAAGGACTTGTGGCACCTTATGCTCAAATAAATGTGTTAGTCTAGGGTGAAAGAAAGATACTGTAGTTTTGTCTCCTGTTTAATGTCAGTGTCTAACGATTATATAAAACATCTCAAAAGGAGATTAGTGAGGACTGGTAAATATTTATTAACAAATTCAGAATTCTGGAAAAATCTAGAAGATTCAATCTCAAAGATCAATTGCTATGTATATGCATATAGAAGTCCATTAATTATTACAGCTCTCACCATAGCAAAAGCTAGAGATACATTTCAATTTAAGTTTGTTTGAAATCCTGTTTTCTAGTAAGGGGAATATATATTTCCTTTTTTTACAGAAAAAAGAGGTTTTTTGCACATGTAACTCAGAACAGTTACCTTTAATATTTTGCATATGCCCAGATTTCAATAGGGAATAGTTGCTTTACTAGTTAAAATAAATCCTACACTTACAGCCTTACGGGGTAAAGAAATGATATATAGATGCTGCTATTACATAGAAAAACCTTCAACTTTAATGTTCTTTTAATGTAAAGTCAAACACTTCAAAGTTAAGAAATGCCACAATTAAGGTTGACTCTTAATTCAGCCCCTTTGTACATATGCATGCTGATAGTGTCTTTAATTACACAACCACAGAGCATTTTTTCTACAGGGCCCCCGTTTCAGTGTTCAATGCAAAGGCCATCAGAATGGGCAAAACAATGCCTTTTCCCCAAGTCTCATTCACGGAAATGGGTGAATTGTTTTAGTGATTTTTTTAAAACAAATTAAACTTGAGAGGGACACCTAGCATGGAAAATGTCAGCCCAAATGATTACATTTTGGCAAAGTCATAAGCAATTAAAACCACAGTCTTATAATGGGAAGAGTGAGGCAACCTACCAGCCCTGTCTCTATTTTATATTGAGTTTCTATAAAGTTGCAGGAAGGGGTACGTATTGTATCACTTCATTTTTTTCTTCCATTTGAAAATTAAAAGCTTTCCCCTACTTACCCTTATAGCATATATTTTTAATTTTATTTAAACTATGTAAACTTTCAGATCGTGTCTGTAATCCCTTTCCATTGAAATTTTAGGCATAAAAAGATCTCTAAATCAGTTACTCCACAAGTTACTAATTAAAAAATGTGACAATTATAACTAAAAATATAAGTATGAATGAAACACATGAAAGTGCTTCCTGATTATTTAGTGTAAACTCTCCATTCTCAGAGAAGCTACTGCAATATTGTATGCCATTCTCTACTAAGCTGCTTCCCCAATTATTTAAACCATTTGGAGTAAAAATACTAAGTTCAGCAACCATTTTCTTCCTTACTAAAGTCCATATATCTAATATTGTCATAATTAAGGGCTAGAGTATGACCCTTGCTTCCCTGAGTAAGCAGGTAGTAAGATAGCATGGTTGGCACTGCAGGGTGGGGGTAGGGGTGAAAGCAGCTGCTGTCGCCGTGTTGCTACTCTCTCTTCTGCACAGCTGGGCAAGGAGTGGGTGGAAGAGAAGGGAAGTTGAATCAGGAAAAGAACTAGCACTGCATACTTCCCCTGCAGACTAAAAAGGAAACAGGCACTCAACTGTGACTCTCAGTCCCAGTTTGGTTCCTGCTCTACTCTTGGCATAGCAAAATTACACCCTGCCCTTTACTCATGACCAGCTGTAAGATTACACTCTAACCCTAAGGGATGTTGTGTCAGGGGGAAGTTTACCCTGTGTACAGGGACAGCCCAAAGCCTATGCATCACTTAAGTCCCACTTAAGGCCTCAAAGGAGGGCTTAGGTAAATAAGTAATGCTGTTCTTGTGCTGTCCCTGGGCACAAGGGTGAATTTCACATTGAGCTAATAGGGAGGGATAAAAATAGTCAGTAAGGGCTAGAGATACATAAAAGGACTTAAGTCCAACAGTTAGGCACCACTGAGATCCTCAAAACCCCTGGTCTGGTGTCACCTAATTCTGTAGGCACCTACACTTCCACTATTAAAGTTCCCTAGGTGCCAAAGTTTCTGCCAGTGAGCATGTGCACACACACCTCAGTTCAGGCACCTATCACACCCCTAACTCCCAGTGGGATCCTCCAACTAGGTGTTCCCTCACGCATCTCGCCTGTGGGGCATGATCCAGTAGGTTTTCTCTGAGCAAACCTAAACAGATGCAAAATGGCTAGGAGGAGGTGGTGATGGACCCCCCTCATAACTACCAGGTTCAATTAACCTGATATGGAGATCATATTTGAATTTGGGTACCCTACCTCTCAATGGAGTACCCTAACCACATGCAGAGTCACTCTAACACTCTTCCTGACCTAACACAAGAGACTGAGAGAACTCCTAGAATGCACCAAAGTCCAGGGGTTAGGGCACTCTCCTGCAAGGTGGAGACCCAAGTTTGAATCCTTCACATCAGGCGGAGGGGAAAATTGAACTTGGGTCTCTCACATGCCAGGTGGGTGCTCTAACCATTGGGATAAAAGTTAAGGGCAAAGCTATAGACAATTGAAACCAGGGTCTTATAATGGGAAGCGTTAAGCAACCTGCCAGCCCCACCTATAATGGTATTTTATATTGAGTTTCTATAAACTTGCGGGAAGAGGTGCATATTATTTCACTTCATTTTTTTCTTCCATTTGGAAATTAAAAGCTTTCCCCTACTTATCCTTATAGTATATATTTTTAATTGCATTCAAACTATGTAAACTTTCAGATATCAGGAATAAAATTATCAGTTGCTCCACAAGTTGTCACTTTTTTAAAACAGTAACTAGAAACTTCCTCCTCCTCAGTTATTGCTCAACAAAAAATGGCTTAGGCGCCTCACTCCAGGAGATGGTTCACAGCTGAGACTCCCAAGTGGCTATTGGGCCAGCAGGAGGCACTGGTCTTAGGTGCCTACATCCTGACTTGGGGTGAAGCTTAGGCCACACCCCTTCACCTTGGCATTTTCTCCAGGCTAACTTTTTTAAACAATTTTTATAACAGACAGGGCAAAAACTGCTACAACAGTCTCTTGGAGAAGAAAAATACAGTAACTGCAGTTCTTTAAGATGCGTCTCCCTATGGGTGCTTCTGCACTTATGCCCCCTGCACCTTCAATAGGAGATTTTCATAGACATGTCTCTTCAGCCTGTGCATGCATGTTACTTCACCTCATGCCCTATGTCATTGCTATATAGCACTGTGTGGGCTAACCGTCCTCAGTTCCTTCTCTATTGTGAAACCTCATGACCGGAAACTCTGAAGAAGAGGGAAAGGGCGGGTACCCGTAGTAGAACACATCTCAAAGAACTGCAATTACTGCATAGTATGAGTAACCACATCTTCTTCGAGTAGTGTCCATATGGGTGCTTCACTCTAGGGGACTCCCAAGTAGTTCCCCTTTAAGAAGGCCGGGGCATTGGAGTCTACTGCAGTATGGAAGAAAGCATAGCTGAGCCAAACACACACTGTCGGAAGTAGAGTTATGAATTATTGCACAGTGCTCGGCAAATGTATGCAGAGAAACCCAAGTTGTAGCTTTACATATTTCAAATGATAGGAACGTTCTTAAGAAAAGGCTGTGGAGGTGGAAATATATCTCAGAGAGTGAGCTCATGTGTCAGCAGGTGCTTTGAGATTACAAGATGGGCAGCAGTTGCTAATAGAGTCAGTTTTCCACCTAGAGAGCCTCCGTTTAGAGATTGGAGTTCCTTTTGTTCTTTCTGCAAATCAAGAGGAATCTGGAAATCTTCCTGAAAGGTTTAGTCTTATCAAGGTAGAAGGCCATGGCTCTGACATCAGCCATGCAGACCAAGGCCTCCCCCTTATCCTGGTGAGAATTATGGGCTGATTAATATGAAAATGAGAAGGTACTTTTGGCAAAAATATGGAGGGTGGTTGTAACAAAACCTTGTCTCTGAAAAATATTGGGAACAGTTAGTATGCCATAGGAGACCATATTTCCCCCACTTGTCAAGTCGATGAGATGGCAACCAGAAATGCCATTTTCATTGATAAAAGGAGGAGTGAGCAAGCAGCCACAGGTTCAAACTGTGGTCATGTAAGGGATTTGAGAACCAAGTTAAGGTCCCAAAAGCAGAGTAAGGCGTTTAACTGGTGGAAAAAGGTTGCCCAGGCCTTTAAGGAATCTTGTTGTCACTGGGTGGGCAAATACAGAGTAACCCTCTATTGGAAAAATGGAAGGCCATGATGGCAGCCAGATGAAAAAGCGAGCTCAGCGATAACCCCAGGGTCTGTAGTATAGAATATAGGATAGTATGTCTGGCAGCAATAAGGTTGTTGCAATGTGTTTGAGATTGCACCAATGGGCAAATAGTGATAATTTTAGTAATTAAGTGCAGCATGTAGACTGTTTTCTGTTGTGCAGTAACATCCTTTTTACTTGCTGTGAACAGGCCATTTCTATGCCCATGAGCCATCAATCAGGCATACTCTGGGGTGAAGGATTCTGAGATGGGGTAAAGAATCTTCCCATTCTCCTGAGAGAGCAGATAAGGGGCAGCACGAGGAGTGATCAGGGAGAACACTGCCAGCTATATCAGGTAAGGAAACTATGTTTGTCTGGGCCATATCAAAACAATCACAATAATTCTGGCCTTGTCTTTTCTTATTTTGAGTAGGACTTTGGATATCAGACGTCAGGGGGAATGCATACAGAAGACCCGGTGTCTATTAGAGGTGAAAGGCATTCCTAAGGGACTGGTGACACAAACCAGCTCTGGAGCAAAACTGAGGACATTTCCTGATTATTGTTGTGGCAAAAAGGTCTGAGGAGTGCCCCATTGCTGGAATACATAGGGAAGTATGGTGGA